ACCTGACCAGCAATTTCATGTCTAGGGATTATCTAGAAGAACTGAAAGAAGGGACATGAACCAATATCTGCAGAGCATTTTAATAGCAGCATCCTTCCTAATAGTCAGAGGGAATGAACAACCCGTGTCTCTCAAGAGATGAATGCATAAACAAAATGGGTAGGTAGACGGGGAGGGAGGTAAGGAGGGGGAGAGAGAGAGAGAGAGACAGAGAGACAGAGAGAGACAGAGACAGAGACACAGAGTGAGACAGAGAGACAGAGAGACACAGAGAGAGAGACAGAGAGAGACAGAGAGACAGGGAGAGAGACACAGAGAGAGAGACACAGAGAGAGTATAAATTCAGCCATAAAGAGGAAGGTAAGTTTGATAGATAGTACAATATAGAAAGACCTTGAAAACACTGTACATAAATGAAGCCAATCACAGAAGGACAAAAGACAAGATCCCACTTAGATGCACTGTCTGGAATAGACAGGGGCAGAAAGTAGAAGTCATGAGGGACTGGAGAGGGAGTTATTGTTTAATGGATACAGTGGCGAAAAGTTATTCTGGAGTGGTGAAAAGGTTTAGGGTACACGGACAGGCAGTGGGGATGATTATGCAAACTGGTGCCACTGAACACTACCCTCACTAGTAGTTGAAATGATAAATAGCATGTCATCTATATTTTACCTCATTTAACAACAGGAAGTACTTGAGTGAATGACCTTGTGCAAAGACTCTTCCTGCAACAGATCAGGTGGGCAGCATGAGGCAGCTCTTGGCTGATGACCTGGACCCTGGCAACTGTTGTCCTATGCCACCTCCATCACTTGCTCTGGCCTTGATCTCTTTGTCCCACAGTGAGGATAAAGAGAGCCCTGTTCCTGTCCTCTATTCATCCCAGCAGCTACATCCTTCACCTAGTCATGGTGTAAGCACTTTCTCCCATCAGGCTTTCCCTAGAAGCAATGCAGTACCTCCCTGGTGGTCAGCAACATCTGGTCTACCACCAGTATGTAGTAAACACCTCACGAGGAAGGGTGACTGGGAAGCAAGTCTCAAGTTTACAGACCAAGAGAGTGATTTCTCTGATGCTGGCCCATTGTGAGCTGTGCCCTGAAGGACAGAGCCTGCCCCTTCTCTCCCTCTACTGCTTCACCACTGCCTGACAACATTTTTCAGCAGATGCAAGTCATTCCTTGAACACATCAACTCAGATTTCCAGGCTTTTATTTTCAAGGATTGGACGTCTAGGATGAGAAAAGACCCGAGTTGAAGTAACCACTGGATCAGAGATGGGGCACATAGACAAGGCAGTGATGCCCCCACCCTAAGACCATTAAAGTATAGACCAAAAGACTTGGAGATACAGAAGCCTTCTCCCTCTCTGCCCCTCCCTCTCATCCACTGCCCTCTCCCTAGAAGGTCAGATCTTGAGATAAGTCCTCTGGTTATGGGGGAAGTTTAGCATTACCAAAAGACTGTTCCTGACCTTGGGAAGCTCAAAGTCCTGGGTCCTGGATTCAATAAGAAATCAGAGGGTGGAAGGACCAGCAGTTAGATCAGAAGTAATTTTCCTAAGTCAACAGCTAAGAATTCCTTTCCCACATGTGGGAGGAAACTGTGCCAGCCTTCTGATGAAGATTGGTCAGCTGTGATCACGTGCTGTTTAAATCCCATTGAAATTAGGATGGAGGTGGAGGGAGGAATGGGCAGCAACTTTGCATCCTTTATGGTTGACAGAGATGTTTGTTGAGATGTGTTGGCCTCAGTGAACTAACTCAGGCAAGTGATTTCCTTTCATGTTTTCCCAGATAACACTGTGCTCTTTGTGACCTTTCAGGCCTGGATGGGATGTTAATAAAACTTCCCAAGAACAGGAGCTTTGTTATCTTAACCTACCCCCAACCCTGCCTCTTCTCTGGTGAACCCCTGTATCTCCCTCTCCATCCTACCTCTGCAGTGTGAGGATGTTGTGGTGCCCTCATCCCTTATAGCAAGGGTAGATAGGAACAAGGACTCTAATGGAAGACAGCTCTCTCAGAGCTATTTGGGGTAACTTGATCTCTACAAACCTCAGTTTGCTCACCTCGAAAATGGTCATAATTATGGTATTGGTATGATCAAGTGCCATATTCAGTAAATGAGACAACACAAATATTGCACATTTAGCAATGTTCCTGGCTCACTGTCAGCAATTCATAACTGAGAATTTCATTCTTCCTTCTTCTTAGTCACCTCCTCAACCCCACTTCCTCCACTAACTTTTATCTTTGAATTTTCAAGTTCAAGAGTAAGGTTTCCTATTATTCCCCGCCTGTGGAAAAAGAGTAGAATGATGGGACAGGCGGAGCAAACTGGTGCCCATTCATCCTGCTTTTGACACAGTGGCAGTTAGTGCTCTGGATGCAGCAGTGTGGGTCCCATGTGGTACCCAGATACCCAGCCAGGTGCTGGGCTGCCACCTCATATCACAGCCTCTCTGTGACTGGACACAGAGGGTCACAAAGTGAGTGTGGAGTCCTTGCAGGGGTCCAAAGGGCAGGGAGGCTCTGTAGGGAAGCCTCCTCATTCCAGTTTGGTTTCACTCCAGTAACCATGCCTAGAAAAGACACTTCTGCCACCTGCTGGCTAAAGGCAGTACAGCAGAAGCTGCCCACAGGCTTCTTAAAGCCAAGACTTGGATCTTTAACACTGGCACAAGTCCTAGAGGGTTTTCCCCTGTTGGCTTAGAAACAGAAACGATGTCCCCAAAGTCCTCTGTGCTTTCCTGCTCACTGATTAGGGCTGATTCAGTGCAAATAGAAGAACTCAGATGGTATCTGCCAGGTAGAGAGACACAGACCCTAAGTTCAGTGGAGGGAAGGTGAGGCACGGCAGGGAACCAGGGCCACAGAGAAGTCACTAGCTGCTGTGAGGGTAAGGGTGAAAGGGAATGACTTTTGTTTCCTGGGGATCCCCTCCTCCTGCCCTTTCTTCTGGCACCTCCTTTTCCCTTAGATGTTCTCTGTTCCCCCAGGCCCAAGAACACCCCTGGCATCCCCTCCACACATCCAAGTAAAACATGTCTCCCTGTGTCATTTCCCAAAGAAACAGAGTGGGCTGGGGGACTATAAGGTAATTAAACAGAGTCACAATCCCAATGGGTTTCCTTCCTTGCTTTGGAGCCCTTCCCTCCTCGATTTTTGTTTTGTCACTATTCAAACCTACCCCCCAAAATAGAGTCATCCAATGAGTGCCCTTTACCCAGACATATCAACAGCAGTGTTTTGTCAACCTATGCTGTCTTTCAGTCTCTTGTATCTTTTTTTGCTTTGTTTGCTTGTTTGATCTTTTCCAAATAGAGAACAGATATCACCCTAAATATTTTAGCATGTGACTCTTAAGAATAAGTACATTATCCTACAGACATGAACTATTATCATCCACTCAACTCAACATTGACACTATAATACTATATACTCTGTCTATATTTAAATCCCCCAATGGTTTCAACAATGCCCTAATCCAGAATGGTACACTGCATTGATTTGCCCAGCCCTCTATCTTTTTGCTCTTAAGATGCTGACATTTTGGTGGGGTCAAATCTAGTTGTTCTGTGGCGTCCCCTGTGATCTGTGTCTTAGGATTTGGATCTGTCCTGTTCCTCACAAGTAGACTCAAGAAAAGCATTTTTTTTTGTCAAGAATGCTATTTATTAGTGTGGTGTCCTCATTCCTCCATATCCAGATCCATTCTTTCTTTCCTTTTTTTTCTGATCTGCCATCCTCCCAGTTCTCAATATGGCTTAACAGAGAACTAAAGCCTGGGCTGGGGATGGGGGGCGGGTATCTGAACCAAAAGAATGTTTTCCTTCTGAGCACAAAGATCTGAGTTTGGTCCCTAGAATGTATGTGAAAACAGAGTGTAATGGTGTGTGTTTATAATCCCAGCTCTGGGGAGGTAGGGACAGGAAGATCTCTGGAGCTTGCTGACCAAGCAACCTACTTGTCAAGTTCCAGGCCAATGAGAGACCTGTCCCAGAAAAATAAGGTGGCTGGCACTTAAGGAATGACAGTTGAAGTTGTCTTCTGATCTCTACATGCATGCCCACACACATGCATGTACATCCTCACCCCCAGGGAACTCCCACACATGTGTACCTGCACATCTACATACAGAGTCTCTCTGTCTCTCTGTCTCTGTCTCTCTGTCTCTGTCTCTCTGTCTCTGTCTCTCTGTCTCTGTCTCTCTGTCTCTGTCTCTCTCTCTCTCTCTCTCTCTCTCTCTCTCTCTCTCTCTCACACGCACACACACACACACACACAGGACCATGGAAATGACTGGGGTGAGGAGGTGTCATACTGTTTGGGTAAAGGTCTCCTTGAAAAGATGTCATCTAAACTGAGACCTGGTAGCAATCCTGGAGGACGGTTTCTGGATGGAGGGAGCCATCAGTGCAGAGGTGGGAGGTGGGAGGAGCTTGGCTTGCCCCATTTTGAAGCCAGATGTGGCTGAAGTCCAGTAAGGGACAGTGGGAGGAGGAGCATGGGAAGAGACTTGTAGGTCAGGGTGGGTGTTTGAACTTTTTCCAAGAACAATGAGGAGTCTGGAAAGTTTTAGCATCTGGACATTCCTAATCCACAGGAAACCACTCATACTCCAGCATAAGTCTTAAACCTGTGACCTCTGAGTCTACATGCTCTGTGAGCAAGGCTAACACAAACCTCCTCCTGGGGTTGTCATATAAGGCCGTCATGCCATGAGCGGTCAGGCAGTAATGGACTGTTAAGATTTGAGCAGTACTCAGGGAAGCCATGTTCCAACAGGTGTGTGTATGAGTGATAGAAGCCTGCTGAGAGGAAGGGCCATGCTCTGTGCACCTGAGAAAGGGCATATTCAAGTAGGCTCCGCCTCCCCTCAGTAGGCTCCCAGCAGGCCTGGAAGTGGTGGCCACTGGCTGTGGGCAGCTGGGAAAGGTACTGGGGGCCCCGCTGGCTGTTCACTGTGTTCTACTGTGTTCCTTTGTTTTTCAGTTCTCCCTGAGACCTTTCATCGACCCCCCGGACCCAGGTGAGTCTGTCATTACCCTGGGCTTCCCTTCAGCCATGGGCTGAACTGGTGCTGGGGTGCAGAAAGTGCCTGAGCATAGCAGCACTGGATGGACCTTGGGGCTCAGCTGGTTCCAGGGCATCACAGAAACCTTTGAGAGTTTATCTACAAACACTGCAATCATCTAACACTTTACACAACTTCGAATTGCTAGTTTCAGCACCTTAAGGGAGAAACAGCTGATGTGGTTAAACACCCCGATTTTACTGAGAAAGAAACTGAGGCCCAGAGAGGAGAAGTAACTGGCTCCTGGCCATACAGCCATTAGTGACCAAGGAAGACAAGGTTGTGACTGCGCAAAACGTCACCTCATTGCCTCATCCCCTGGTAAGGAAGCCAGGATATTTAGACAGGGAGCCTCAGGATAATGATCCCCATGAACTACCACCTCTACCACTGACCTCAGGCTTGGTCCGTGTCTAGAAAACCTATAAGAATCTCAGGCTGATGTCAAGGGGCACAGGACTGGGAATTCATGGAGACCTGGTGGATGCTATGTCCTTCTGCATTGGTTTAATTGCGTCATAAGGTTGAATTAAGAGGGCATTCAAAGCTGGGCATGGTGGGATGAGCCTGAGGAGGATCAAGAGTTAAAGGAAGGCCTCAGCCATATAGCAAGTTTGAGGCCAGCCTAGGTTACTCAAAACAACAAAACAAAACCAACCAACCAAAAGATTGCACTGAAGCACACAGACTAGTGTGAAACCCAGAAAATAGTCCATCTGTGGTGGCCCAGTGGAATGGGCTTTTTCCCATAAACTGTCTGTCTATCCCAGACTTACCATGTCACCTTGAACCCTTCCTGTTTCCTCTCCCTAGTGCCCACATCACACTGGGCTGGCCAGCACTACTTCTGCCCTACTCTGAACTTGGGACAGAAACTTCATTCAGTACTACCTGGGGCCAGAGGCAGACATCCCCACAGGGAGGGGTCTGGGTTGTTCATCCACAAAAGACCAAAGTAGGCAGGCAGCCCATGGAGATGACAAGCATGGCTCAAGTTTGCATCAAGGACTTACTTGGAGCAAAGATGGTGAACAATGGCCAAACCTGGATCAGTCACTGATATTCTCCAGGAAAGAACAATGGATAGGGTGAAAGACTGTGGCATCTCAGAGCAAGTGATGCCAAGTCTTTGTCCCACCCAATTGCCTAGGGAATAGAATAGAAATGTGGGTCTCTATGAGCATGGATTGTGGAGGGAAACTGCATCCTTTTACAGAGCAAGGGAGAAAATGGAACATAAGGCAGCCCAACTGCTCTGAAGGGTCCCATTCAGACTCCACACATGCCTGCAGTCTAGAGACAGGTCAAGTCCAAGGTTGGAAGGGCAGAAGCTGGAAGGTCCATGTTTTCCCAAGCTTCAAGTGCACATTGCTCAAACACCAGTAAAGGGAATCCCGGGCTTGGGGATCAGAGTCATAGATGCTATGGGGTAAGACAGGGAAGGAGACAGGAGTACAGAAGACAGGACTTCCATCTCAAGTGTCTATAAGGTGTCCCTGCTCATAATCTTTCAGTTGAACTGTGGGAATTAAGAAACATCGTTTAGGGCTGGGGCAATGATTCAGTGGTTAAAGCGCTTGCCATGGTACCAGGTTCGATCCACAGACGGGAAGAATTCCCTAATATTAGCATACTCCAAAATTTGACTGAGCTGTGGGCTCTTAGGAGGCAATGAGTACCCCAGCACTGTGTATATTTAAGTTAAAAAAAAAAAAAGAAAAGAAAAAGGAGTGGAGAGTGTTGGTCTTAGCATCATGAGACACTAATCTGTATAAAAACTCTGCCAATAGCTTCTGCGAGTTTGGTAAGTAAATGAAGCGGGTTGGCCCCAGGCACTAGAGCCCATCTCAAGGTGCTCTGTCAGTCTGTGGCTGTGGAGTAAGGAGAGGTATACTGGTTGGGCCTTTCCAAAAATAGGTTATGTTTAAAGGCCATCAATGACTGGGCCCGTTGTACATGGGGGCTGTGCTTTGATGAAATTCATCAGCTCCCTGCATGCTTCCCATAACAGCATGTTGAGGAGATACCCTAATTATGACTGCAGGCAAGCTGCTTCCTTGGTTGGCCTTGTTGGGGACAGTACATGGTGAAGGCCTTGCTAAGCAGAAGGTACACAGTCCCCAGTGGGTGGAGGAGGAGGAATTCATCAAACAGCACAAGTTCTGCCCGTCCCCCCAAACAGGTGACACGTAGCCGGCAGGCCTGCGCAAATGCCTCTTCAAAGCTGCCTTGGCTCTGCCCAGCACCACAGGCTGTGCCCGTCCATCAACTGTCCTGCCGCCTGCCAGCGAGGCACTCTGCTGTTCTTGTCCCGCCAGACAGCCTGGAAGCATCACATGTTGGCCGACAGGACTGGGGTTTGAGGGAGACCCTCAGAGGAGCTGTCTGTGGCACAGTGATGGATGACGCCAACAGGGATGACATTTGGGGGAATTTTCATTCCTTTCCACACATCTGGAAAGCTCTTTAACCAGAGCAGCTGCAGAGTCCCCATGGCAGGAACTGTGAGCTCTTTCCAAGAGGCATTCACCTTGGACCACAGTAATCCTGGCCCAGGGATGAGGAATATGTGCTAACTGAGGATTTCTTGATGGGGGCTCCTTCCTGAGAGTCAAAAGTCAAGGGTGTTCTGAAACAGAATCCACAGAGGTGCCAGACTTATGAAAAGGCATTAGGTGGATGTGGGAATGGGGATGTCTCTTTGCCTTGGTTCTCCCTAATCTGTAGGATAGGAATAATGGTCCCCTTGTCACAATACTGCTTAGCAGTTGAGTGAGATTGTGCATATTTGCCTAGAGTATCTGACACAGAGAATATTCAATATGTAATAACCTGCTATTAGAATTATGCATTAATTCAAAATGCTCTTGCCATTCTTCCTAGTCTTTTCTAGAAATATTCTGATAAACTGACAGATCCACAGAATTTCTCTTTAAACCTAAAATGCTTCCAAGCACCGTCCTTTCTTCCCCAAAGTTTACCCTTTTCAGTAGCCCAGAAAATGTCTCAAGTAAGCTGAATTTGAACCTGAAATAGTTTCTTCTTCTGTATGTATGTGTGTGTGTATGTGTGTATGTATGTATGTATGTGTGTATGTGTGTGTATGTATGTATGTATGTGTGTATGTATGTATGTGTGTGTGTATGTGTGTATGTATATGTGTGCATATATATATTTTAAAAAGTGCTGTATTCATTATG